GATAGAGCCCGGTGGAACCCCTAAGACTAAGGCCCCTCGCTGCCCTTCAGGTCTGGACCTGAACCCACACCTGTGGCTTCCAGCCAAGCAAAAGACAGGCATTATGAGTTGAACATTTACCTGAGATAGATACACTCCTTGGAGAGCTCAATCATGGGAGAATAGAAGGGCTGTGTACACACAGGGAGACAGCTCAGGGGGCAGGAGTTCATGAGAGGGAAGGACACAGGGAAGAGGTGTTATGGGGAGAAAGTGGGAGGAAAGCTGTTGCACTACGGGAGATTGTAGTCAATGTCATGAGACAAAGTGTATGTGAACTGCTGTATGGAAGATGAATTTGTTCTGTAAACTTTCACTCAAATCACAATATAATTAAAAAAAAAAAAAGAAAACCAACATTCGACCAAGGAAGTGCAGATATTCAGACACACGGATTGAACAGGGAGTAACTAAAGAATGTTCTGGGTCCCGTCGAAGCTGGGAGCACAAAATAATTATTAGTTCTGAAGGACTAGGTCTCTTAGATGACATTATATTTCAGAAGATTAACTCTGATTCAAGAAGTACTTTTCTATGGCTGATTTCATAGTACAAAGTTGAAGCAGTGTCTGAGGATATCATATGCCATATGTGGTTCAGTTCTAAGAGCGAGGCAATTATGCCCACTAAGGTATACACTGAATATTAGTGGACAGCAAAGCATGTAAAAATCCAGAACAGACCTTAGAGTTCTAATACAAGTACCCCCAGTGACTCAACCAAAATTGATTAAACTCATTTTAAAAAACTATATTCTACTGCCATTACAAATAATCACATGGCCAGATCTTATGGCCCATTACTTTTTTAAAGAAGGTTGGCCATTCTTACAAGTGTCTACAAGTGCTTCTTATATTCACCGTATTTTTAAATTTTAAGAGTATGCAGGATCAATTTTTGGAAGATATGTGCATATTTATATGCAAATATGCATGAGGAAAAGCTGGGAATATATCCCAGAAGTATTTTTTTTCCTCTCTTAAAACTGTATGTTAAAGATTTTATGCAATGAAGTAAGCTATTAAAAAAAAAAAAAAAAAAAAAGTCTCACTCACATAATTGTGGCATTATAGACTCACTCAATCCTTTACACAGCAAAAACTTTGCTCACCACTGGTTAATACTTACTACGCTTTGCCAGGGGTCTTTGCTTCATTGGCGCTGATAATGAATAAAGGAAAGAGAATGGAGAAGAGGCAGCCACTGTAAAAAGAAGAAATAAAATACCTAATTATTCATCATAGCCATGGTTTTGGAGAAGATATGAGAAACGCAACTTCTTCACCTCCAGTGCAAACACAATGGCTTGGTGAAATTTTAATATATAAATCATCTGTTTCAAAAAGAACAAAAGTTTCTTTAAGTACTGCCTATATTTAACATAGCTCCAGAAGGCAACATGGGATACGGAATTATGAAGATTCAATTTTAATGCCAACTGTCAAATGTTTGTGAGAAAACTCCTATATGTCTCCTGATGATCAAGAAAAAAAGCAGAATGCCTAGCACAGTAGCAAACAAATAGAAGGCACGGGTACATGAATCTCTGTTTTGACTAATTCCCTTCAAATCCCTCTAGCCAAATTACCTGATAATGTATGAGGACTGCATTGCTGTGAGGAAAGCCAAGGGCAAACCAAATCCAAAGTAGTAAGGCCAATTCCTTTCTATGTTTGACAGCCGCTGGTGCATTTCAATTCCTACAACAAGAGAGGCAATACAATTAGACTGTATACTTCATTTTAATCAAATGACTAGGGAAGACAAACTACTTAAAGATTGTGTTTCAGGTAGAGATCTGCCATTTAGAACATTGCTGGTATATAAATTAGAATTGTGTACATCTGATATAAAACTTCTACTCAGTTTTAACAATTCAATAATCACAATTTCACAGCTGGAAGACTAAATGAATTAATTATGAATTACAACACCAGCATCATTCGTCAGGATTAGTCTTGAACAAAGAAAGACAACAAATAAAAAGGTAGGACTTAACCATTTAGGGAGCTCTGGTAGTGTTGTGCCTAAGGCACTTGACTGTTAACCAAAAGGCTGGCAGCTCAAACTCACCAGCCACTCCTCAGAAGGAAGATGGGGCAATCTACTTCTGTAGTGATACTGTCTCAGAAACCCAAGGAGGGGTCACTATGAGTCAGGTCCAACTCAAGGGCACACGATAACAACAACAACAACAATACACCATTTAGGCAGAATTAAGCTCCCTCTTGGCAATGAGGCTATTTCCTTTCAAAGATGATTTACCAAAGGCCTAAGTACAGAGCAGTTTAATAAGTGTGCTTAACAGCAGCATTTTTAAACTAATCCTTCAAGTTCTGAGTTTATTTCTGTTAGAAAGATGCACTTACCTTTATTGAACCAGCGATATTCAAAGCAGTACAGTGAATATAGAAGGGACATATGCAGGAGACTAACCAGTTGACCAACAAGATGGATGGGGAAGAGACTCACAAACATTCCCTGAAGAACAAATATTAAGATCTTAATTCTAAAGCCTCAGAGACCTAACATTATCCACCTGCTTCTCTGAATGAACCATCACTATCTGCCAACAAAGCCATAATTGCTTCTCAAGCTTCTGAAAAGCCAGAAAGAGAATGTCCAGGGTGACAGAGAACGTAAATTCACATTTCTTATAACTAAGACTTTAAAGTTCTGTAATATATTTGTTCTGTGAAAGATGATTTTAAACTGTTACCAAGTCAAATTGATGCTCCAGAATGATGTGCTGTGTTTATGCTATGACTCCACATATCTCTGCCAAGGGCATACATATGCTAGAAAAAATGTTACACCTTCTCCTTGGGGTATGCCCCCTAGTGAAACTCTATTTAATCTGCCCAAGTGCTCAGAAGGCTGGTCTCACCTGGAGAAGAAAAAGAGCCTGCAGCAAAAGGTTGAAGAGCATATCAGCAATTATTTTGCTGACACTAGGAAATGGGTGAGGCTTCCTCCCTGATACTTCAAATGCCAGATCAGCTATGTCCTGTAACAGAGAAAGTAGCTCAACAAAACATTAATTAAATGACCCTGGTAAGTATCCCTAGAGCTACGACCACTGGTCTGCCACTAGAACTGCCAAATGACAACAAGATGCTCCAGTGACCTGAGACAATTATCCCATTTCATGAGAACACAAAGATCACTCACTGGCTGCTTGGCCAAAAAAAGGTTAAGGATAAGCAATAAGTCTCCTATATGGACACTGTCTTCATCAGTGGAAACCTGCCACCTACCAACCAACCCATCATGCTGTTGGACCCAATTGCCTTTCTGCCATGAACCTACTTGGAACCAAATGGCATTGACAACTTTGCTAAGCACAAACAGGGGAAGCACCCAAAGAGCACTGAAAATTGATGTGAGAAAGAATTCCAGCCACGACCAAACATCTCCATGTAGTGATGGATCACCTGAGGGAAAAAAAATTTATTAGTTCAACTAAAGAAATGGAAAACTAGGAGACAACTCCTATTTCATGACTATTCTTTTTCAGTACACATATTTCTTTCTTACTGGAGCTTCACTATTCCTACTTCATATAGTCTTATTCCTAGTTGTTGTATTGAACCCTAGTGACACAGTGGTTAAGTGCTTGGCTGCTGAAAGGTCAGCAGCTCAAACCCACCAGCCCCTTCTGGGAGAATGATGTGGCAGCCTGCTTCTGTAAAGACTACAGCCTTGGAAACCTATGGGGTAGTTCTACTCTCTCCTATAGGGTGAGTATGAATTGGAATTGACTCAATGGCAGTGGGTTTGTTTTTATTTAATAGGTACATGTTGCCTACTTTGAAATAAGCCTGTTCATGTAACAGTGACTGCGATGTCACAGATTAAGATACAGTTTATTGGAAACCACTTGAGTTTAAATGCCAGTCTGCCATGTACTTATGGTTTAAACTTGGTAATAACTAACTTCCATTTCCTCATCCATATAATGGATACAAAATAGTATCCATTCTTAAAGGGTTGTTAAGAGATTTGAGTTAAACACATACAAAATGTTTAATATACTGCGGGAGAATGGAAGTATCTTCCACCTCCATCCCTAGTGAACAGCAAGAATATCACTTACCAATAATTTGTGCCGTTACCGACTGAAGCACAGGAATAAACACTCGGTAAAACAAGAGGAGACTGAACTAAAGGAAAAAGTAGTAAGGCAAACATCAAAAACATCTTTAAGACAAGAGTTGCAAGTTTCAGTGTAATTATTTTCCAGATGAAAGTACATTATATAAATTGGGAGGCTGTCACCCTTTGGTGTAATTATTTTCCAGATGAAGGTACATTATACAAATTAAGGGGCTATCACTATTTGAACCATCACTATCTGCATCAAAATTTGATCCACTTCTACTTTGCAATATTCCTACAGAGAGGTACAAACCTGACACTGCCTACAAAACAGTGAAACTTTTAGGGTTCATGGAAGAACATCTCAAATATCCCAGCTAAAATACAAGCATAACCTAAGTATGTAGTGATGTTTTATTAAGTCCAAAACTAATTATCTAAAATCAGAGTATCTGGAAAATTTGATTAAAATGAATTGAATTACATTAATTCCAAGTCAAAGAAAACATTTAACTGTCTGTTCTTCAAAATACCCAAATTTCACTTGAGCCTTCACTGGTTCTTAGTTAATTTTTCCAGTATAAGTATCAATGGTAATCGATCTGGTTGATTTGTGAACAAGTCACATTTTTCAAAAGCTGAAAAGTATATATTCAGGACTAGCCCCAACATTCTTCATATCCAAATGTTCTTTCTTGAATGGGAATAAAATCACTGCAAGGGCAGAGACTTACTAGCTATATTCTTAAGCATATGTCAGTGTGGTACAGTGAATTACTTGGTATGGCTTTTCTAACCAGTCTTTGTGACTCCCACCAGATTACTGGGTGGGACCATACAAATGAGTTGTATAGAACTCTAATGTGGGGATTGGTTAGTTTTGTCATTCTGCTAGGCTTAAAATGAGCCTTCCTATAGACAAGAAAGGAGATCTCACTGTCATCAAAAGAGAAGAACCAGAGGTGGAGTGGAGCATGTCCTTGGATCCAAGATTTCTGAGCTGGACCTTCTTCACAAAAAGACGGCAGAGAAGACTGGCTGAGGAACCAAGACGCACAAGACAGAGTGGTGGGCCTGCCAGTCAACACAGCAAGAAAACTGAGTGACTTTGGGCAGAAGGCTTGCTGGTGGAATGGGGTGCACCTAGGTGTACCTGTCGGAAGAGCTAAAAGATCTTTGCAATGCTTACTTGAGTAGGGCAATGGCCAGGCCAAGAGACCAAGGGCCAGAGAAGCATGCCTGAAGGGAGACTGCCCTGATGGAAGAACTGTATCCTAAGTGCATTCCTGAACCTGACTGTAGCCTGTTACTTCCCTAAAAAAACCCATAATCCTGAGTATTGTCTGTGAGTTCTGTGTGGCCATTCCAACAAATTCTGCTACCCAGCAGGAGTAGTGAGTGGCATGGGAAGGATGGCTGGTGTCAGAATTGGTAAAAACGTTAGAAGGCAGCAGTATGTCCAGACTCAGGGGTCGGCCTTGGCCTGCTGCTGATGATTCTCTCTCTCCCCTTTGTGAAGTTAGAGGAGGTCAGAGGAAGATGCTGCCTTCATGCCTTTTTTGCAGTTAGCATGTGAAAGCTACCTGTCTCAGTCTTTCAAGAAAAACAACTGAAAAACATTATGACCTAGCAACAATCTATAGATGCTTATAAGACCAAAGACAACCACAAGGCACCTGGAACTTGAGGAAAAGAACTTACCCAGAATACTCCTCCATTCCAAGCACAGCACTGGAAAATTCTACTAACAATACGCGTTTCACTAGAAAAGACCACATGTACTTAGCTTAAAAGGCATATAAGTTTATTTCCTCATTGTTATTCAGTAGCTTTCTATTTTATATATTTCTTTGATAGCTTTTTTCTAAATATTGTTATTGTGGTGAAATATAGTAAAACATTTGTTATTTCAAACACTTTTATGTGTACAGTTCAGTGATACTAATCATGTTTATCATGTGTCACCACACTGTGCAACTATCACCACTATCCATTTTGGTACCATATTACTTTTCAGCACCTAATGTTGTTCCAATATTCTCCTAATGTCACTCAATGAGAAGTGGGTAAGAAATATTTCTTAGGAATCAGTTTTTCTTAAAAAATTTTTTTTCCCCTAAAATCTAGGATGGAGAAGATTAAAAGAGAAAGTCTGAGATTTTTCTATCAATAAAAAAATCATGTAATTATTTATTAAACTAATAGTTGTGGTTCTCTATTCACCATTCTTATTTTAAAAAAATATATGATATTTTGAGCAAGGATTATTACTAAACCCTAACTCAATGTGAAAAAAAAATATCACCTATCCATCTTGGAAACAACAATAACAAACAAACAAAAAACCCACTGGCTAAGCTGATTCCAACTCATAGAGACCTTATAGGATAGAGTAGTACAGCTGCCTCAAAGGGTTCCCAAGGCTGTAAATCTTTACAGAAGCAGACTACACAGCTTTCTCCCAGAGCAGCTGGTGGGTTCAAACCCCAAAACTTTTGGTTAGTAACCAAGTGCTTTAACCACTGCATCATCATAAAAACCAAATAATGGGGTACTAATACTTCAACAGGAGCTCTGGTAGCATAGTACTTAAGGCACTTGACTGCTAACCAGAAGCCTGGTGGTTCAAACCCACCAGTCACTCCTCAGAAGGAAGGTTGGGCAATCTACTTCCGTAGTGATACTGCTTTGGAAACCCAAGGAGGGGTCGCTATGAGTCGGGTCCAGCTTGACGGCAAGTAACAACAACAACAAAAATACTTCAACATGGAGCCACAGTGGTTAAAGCACATGGTTGCTAACCAAAAGTTCAGCAATTCAAACTCATTAGCTACTCCATGGGAGAAAGATGTGGCAGTGTGCTTCTCTAAAGATTATAGCCTTGGAAACCCAATGGGCAGGTCTACTCTGCCTACAGGGTTGCTATGAATTGGAATCAACTTGACAACAAGTTTTGTTTTGATTCTCAAAAGTCATTGTATAAAGTCTTGATTCTATACGAGGAATTGATCACTTCCTAAAGCACCCTGCCCTTGGATATTTTCTGATATCCGCCTGTCTTCCTTACCTCTCTTGCTTCCGCTCTATACTCTGGGCTCTCCTCTGTGCCAGGACACTACTTGCTCTTCTTCGACGCTGTTCCTCCCTCTTTTGCTGTATTCGAGCATCCAGCTTTGAGATGGTACAAATACCCCAGATAGAGTCCTTGATTCCCTACAGAGGAGATGATTAAAATTATGGATCACAGAAGAAAACTACCTATCTAAAGTGAAAGAACAATGGAAACCACTGTATTTATTTTGTTATACTGCAAAAGGGACTTTGGTTGTTTTGTTTTTAAGTTTTAAAATAGTTGCCTAATTACAGAGCAGTTGCAAGAATGGAGGTCTCCATAGGGTTTTCTTGCAGTTTGCCAGGTCTTTCTCCCACGGAGCCACTGGGTAGATTTGAAATCCTCAAATATTCTTTAATATTTTGCTGTATTTATTATAATTCTCATAAATATGCATGTGTGTGTGTTGTGTGTATGTATATAGTATACACACATTTTTTTCTGAATCACTTGAGTAGGTTGCTACATCATACCCCCTTACCTTAATTCTTCATTGTTTATTTCCTAACAAAGATATTCTTTTACATAATCATAGTATAATTATCAATTCATAAAATTTAATGTTAAAACAAATACTTTAATGTACAGTCCAAATACAGGAGCCTTGGTAGTACAATAGTTAAACACTTGGCTCCTAACAAAAGGTTGGCAGTTCAAATCTACCCAGTGGCTCTATGGGAGGAAGACCTGGCAAACTGCAAGAAAACCCTCTGGGGCAGTTCTACTCTATCTCATGGTGTTGTTCTGACTCAGCATCGACTCAATGTTACCCAACAACAATAAGCCATATTCCAGTTTCTCCAATTGTCCCAATAATGCTCTCTGGCATTTATAAGCCTTTAGTATATCAGTCCAGAATCACGTATTGCATTTAGACATATGTCTCTTTACACTTCTTTAATTAGGAACTGATTTAGCCTTTCTTTTTATATAACAGAAGCCAATTATGTTATAGAATTCTCTCAATTTAGGCTTATTTGCTCATGATTAAGTTAAGCATTTTTTATAAGAATGCCAAAGAAGAAATGCTATGCCCTTCAAGGTATTACATACAGAGACACAAGACGTCTGTTTGCCCTTGTTGGTGAATTACGCAACCAGCTTCTCCACTATTTAGTTGCAACTCCACCCCCTGCAAGTAATCAGCCATCTGTAGGGAGATGCTTCTGAGACATATAACTATCTCACTCACCAAATTCTCCCTTGATTTACCATCCATTGACAGTTCTTCACCAAACCAATCTTGAATAACATGGTTGCAAAATAGTGATTTTCTAATCCTTCAAACACTTACCAATAGTATAGAGTCAACTTATTGTCCTTTGCTTTACTCTTTCAGTATTAATTAAATACATACCACATGCTCTATATCCTATACTAACTCCATAGACATACACGGATAAATAAAACACTATAGAACCAAGGCTGGACGAAAGATAGAGAAAGACACAAGGAAACATTTACTTTAAAACGTGAAATGTGCTATAAGGGGTGTTCACATAAGACAGAAGTAACGTGGTAGTCTAGCAGGAGGAGAACAAGAACGTCCTTCAAGAGTGCTGCAGACTAGTAGCAAAGTTCAACAAGACAGAAAATAACAAATGCTGGCAAGGATGTGGAGATACTGGAACTCTCATACACTGTTGGTGGGACTGTAAAATGGCACAACCACTGTTGAGAGCAGTATGGCGATTCCTTCAAAAGTTGGAATTAGAAATACCATTTGACCCAACCATTCCATTACTAGGCATATATCCTAAAGAAGCGAGAGCCATGACAAGAACAAACATATGCACACCCATGTTCATCGCAGCATTATTTACAATAGCCAAAAGATGGAAACAGCCTAGGTGTCCATCAACTGAGGAATGGATAACCAAACTATGGTACATACACACTATGGAATACTATGCAACCCTAAAGAATAATGCAGAATCTGCAAAACACTGTATAACGTGGATGAACTTGGAGGACATTATGCTCAGTGAAATAAGTCAATCACAAAAGGACAAATACTGTATTAGTCTGTTATTGTAAAAGTCAAGGAAAGGTTTATCCATGGAAGGAAATTTTCTTTGCTGGTTACCAGGGGTGGGAGTAGAGGGGAGGGAACACAGTTAGGTAGAGATAAGTATTGATTTGGGTGAAGAGAAGGGCAATATATCAAATGTGAGTGATCAGTATGGTGGCATTGAGGAAGAGAATGACATAGAGAGGTACATGGGAGGTACAGACAATAAAGATGAACCCTTTTGCACATACAGTACTGCACTGTCAGAAGGCAAACATGGGTATACTGGTGGATAGATGGGTGGACAGGCTGAACTAGTAGGTATGTGTATGAAGCAGGGCATATATCCAAGACCACGTATAGGGTTGGCAGACAATGGTACTATAAGTTTATTTGTACGATCTGAATTCCCAGGTGTAGAGAAGAGCTGATAAGGGGCAAGGTGTTAGTCACTTCTTGGTCACAGCCAGCTACCCAGAGGGACCAAGAAGTTGAACCTGTGGGCTCAGGACCATAGTCCCAGGGGACATCAAGCTCAATTGGCGTAACATACTACACAAAACATTGTTCCACCTCCTACTTTGGCGAGTAGCGACTGGGATCTTAAACGCTTGCAACCGGCCATCTAGATGCAACGATGGGTCTCTCCTCGTCCAGAGTAAAGAAGAATGAAGAAAACCAAAAATTCATGGAAACGATTAGTCCTAGTGACTGGTATACTATCCAATCTGCAGCCTGGACAACTATGAGACCAGAAGAACTAGATGGTGTCCAGCTACCACTGTCAACCACTTGGAAGGTGATCTATGTAGGAGATCCTGGATAGAGAGGGAGAACAATGTGGAACAAAACTCAAAATCATTTGGATTAAAAAAAAAAAAAAGGGAGGGAGACCAGGTTTGCTGGTCTGATACAGCCTGTTGAAACCACTGAGAGTATGGCCCCTAGCTGCTCTTCAGGTCTGAAATTGAACCCATACCTGTGGCTTCCAGCCAAACAAAAGACAGGCATATGAGTTGAACATTTACCTGAAGTAGATACACCCCTTAGAGAGAACAATCATGGGAGAAAGAAGGGCTGCTTATGCACAGGGAAACAGTTCAGGGGGCAGGAGAGTATGGAGAGATGGACACAGGGAAGAGGTAACTATTGGGAGGAAGTAGAAGGGAAGTTTTTGCACTGTGGTAAATTGTGGTCAATGTCATGAGACAAAGTGTATGTGAACTGCTGTATGGAAAGTGAATTTGCTCTGTAAATTTTCTCCTAATTCAAAATTTAAAAAAAGAAAAAAAAGATTGTTGCTGAGACTATAAGATGCTGACAGAGGCACTTGCCAACCACACTCAAAGAGATCCAATAACAAGAAGGCTTCTGCTACTGCCACAAACACCAGAAATATCTGTCACTCATTTCAAAGAACTGTATTTATTCATTCATTTATTCATCCATCCATCCAATCGTCTGTCCATCCATCCACCCATCTACTCATTCACATATGACTATCTCCTATGAGCCAGACAGACATTGGTTATATTGAAATACTCAAGAAATTTACAACTTAACAGGAAAAGTTCACAAGTGAACAAGAACAACAAAAATTACATCATAGTTTATTTAGCATTTATTTAGTTGCTATAACACACTGAAGATGCCCCAGTGATGCAGTGGTTAAAGTGCTTATTGCCATCCAAAAGGTTAGTGGTTCAAAGCCACCACCAGCCATCCATGGGAGAAAGATGTAACCATCTGCTTCTATAAAGATTTACAGTCTTAGAAACTTTTGGGGCAATTCTGCTCTGTCCTATAGGGTCACTATGAGTTGGAATCAACTCAACAGCAGTGGGTTTGGGTATAACAGATATACATGTCCCAAGTAGAGAGGGTTAATCTCATGAAAAGAGGAAAAAAAGATATTTTAATGATGGCCAGGCTAGATTAAAGGATGGCATTCTCACTTGTTGTTATGCGCCAAAACAAATTTTAGAAATAACAGCCACAGTACAGAGAAATGGCAAGTTTATGTACCATCTACTGGTAAGAGCATAAATTGTCAGTGTGAACCTAACCCTTAGCCTATGGATAATTTTTAGTCTCATTTTGCTTTTAACTGCTAAATCTTCCAAAAACAGCTTTCTTATCCAGAAAACTCAAATACTTAAGAAAGTTAAGCTCACATATCTGAGGGCTAAGATGACATGATCCTTACTTTTGTACAGTTTGGAAGCTCTGGTGGCATAGTGTCTAAGACATTTGACTGCTAACCAGAAGGCTGGTGGTTCTAACCCACCAGCCACTCTTCGGAAGGAAGGTTGGGCAATCTATTTCTGTAGAGATACTGCCTCGGCAACCCAAGGAGGGGTCGCTATGAGTCCCAACCAACTCGACAGCAGTGAGTTTTTTTTTTTTTTTTTTTGGGGGGGTACAGTTTAGCAAAGCTAACAAATATTAACAGCATATTATAGTACTGATGCAGGGTTGAAATTTTATAGCACAAGAAGACTGGCAAGACAAGGAGCTAAGGATACTGAAAACAGATCACACTTAATCCTTCTAAGACATTCCTTCATTTCCCCCTTTTTCACTCAAGGGAACATTTTAAACCCTCATATTGAAGAACTCGGCCCTAGGGATTGGCCTCAGGCCTAAGGCAGTCACCTGCCACACAATGCTGTCAGTTTGAGCCCACCAGATAGCTGAGCTGTCTCTTTCTAAAAGAGCTCTGGTAGCATAGTGCCTAAGGCACTTGACTGCTAACCAGAAGGCTGGCAGTTCAAACCCACCAGCCACTCCTCAGAAGGAAGGTTGGGCAATCCTACTTCTGTAGTGATACTGCCTCGGAAACCCAAGGAGGAGTTGGAGGGGTCTCTATGAGTCAGGGCCGACTGGATAGCACATAACAAGTGACCCCTCCTTGGGTTTCTGAGGCAGTATCACTATGGAAGTAGATTGCCCTATCTTTCTTCCGAGGAGTGGCTGGTGGGGGATATAGATAGAGGGAATACAACTAGCATGTGGGACCTTAGACATCCAGTGAAAGTAATAGAATTGTTACTGGTAATTTGGGTGAGCAGGTCCTAGGCAGTTCTTTATGGGGCATTTTCCTAAGGCATCCTCATCATCCACACCATATAAAAATAAGGGGAAAAGGCTCTGGAGGCAGGTAACCCAGGTTTCAATACTAGAGAAGCACTCATTAGGTCTCCCAAGATTCTACAAAATGCAGGATAATTAGAATGAAAACCAACAAAGATGATCACTTTAAAAATGTCTAAAGGATTTCCCAGTCAGTTCCTTCAGTAAACAGGTCAAGAGACAACTTCCAAGAAACAAGATGTACTCACCCTGGCAAGGTCCTGGAGAAAGGTTTTGACACTGTCAGCCATCTCTTCACCACCCAAACTATCAACTACACTGAGGATAGAGATGTATCTCAAAATCTCTCATCATGAAGGGCCTGAAAAAAGATGAACATAAGGGGTAAACATTTACTTTAAAGTACATTACTTACTTTATGCACATTTCTACATGATAACATTTGCTATATACTTGTAGCTCCAAACAGAAGTGTTGCAGCTTCTAACACTTCAGTAGACACTAGCAGAGTGAACTGAGCAAGGCTATACTTGTAGTTGTTGAAACCTGAAACTTGCATTGAAGGATTTTTTTCTAATCACTAATCATTCTTTTACTTTTCTATAGGGAAAATGTGTTCTTGGGCCAGTTGTTTCTTCTCTGAGCCCTGACTCTCCTAACCACCCCTCCTATGAACTCCTGTTACTTTTGAAAATTTGGAGATGGATGATAATTACATTAAAATCTCCTCTGAAGCAATATTTACACTTGATTTATACTCTCAAGCACTTGAATGAAATACAAGGGCAAGTTCTGGAGCCATGGGCACTGGATGAACCCCTAAAACTATTGTCCTGAAATTATTTTTAAACCTGAAACCAAAAACATCCCCTGAAGTTGTCTTAAAACCCAAAAATAGCTTAGCTTAACTAGTAAAAAATGTCTGTCTTGAACATTACGTTCTTTTAATAACTATCTATATGGGATCAAATTGACAACAGTGAAAGGTTAGATAGGACCTTAGGGGGCAGTGAGATTACATTAAGGGGGGAGAACAAAGAAAAGAAGGGTGAAAATATTGCACAACTCAGATTGTAATTAACGTCACTGAAATGTATATGTAAAAACTGTTGGTGTGATGTATGTTCTCAACAACAAAATAAAAGAAAATACAAGGGGAAGATAAAAGTTCTTTAAAAATTACCAAAGATGCAATTCAGTCACACACAGGGCCCTCCAGGGCAAATAAACATTTAATGTATCATATGAAACTGTCTATTCAAGACAATGCACCTCCAAAGAAGTGTTCCTATGTTTTCTAATTTAGAATATATACGTGTAATTGAATAAGCATGCAAAGACAGATTTAAACTAGACCAAAAAGAGACTTCATGTGTGTAAATACTCTTTAACATTACAGACATACTTTGGAGATATTGTGGGTTCAGTCCCAGGCCACCACAATAAAGTGCATATCGCAATAAAGTGAGTCAAGTGAATTTTCTGGTTTTCCAGTACATAAAATGTTATGTTTACACTATGCTATAGTTTATTAAGCGTGCGACAGCATTGTGAAAAAATCTGAAATACTGTGAGAATTACCAAATGTGATACAAAGACATGAAGTGAGCGCATGCTGTTGAAAAAATGGCACCAAAAGACTCGCTCAACACAGAGTTGCCACAAACCATTAATTTGTAAAAAAAAAAAAAAAACAAACACTATCTGCAAAGTGCAATGAAGCAGAACACAATAAATCGAGGTATGCCTGTCATGTTTTTCCATTTTATTTCTTAGGTGAATGAGAAATTTATTTTCAAAAATTAAGAACCTAAGAGTTCACGTACATGTTGTTGTTGTTGTTTGCCATCGAGTCGGCCCCGACTCATAGCGACCCCTACTTGGGTTTCCAAGGCAGTATCACTACGGAAGTAGGAATGCCCAACCTTCCTTCCGAGGAGTGGCTGGTGGGTTTGAACCGCCAGCCTTCTGGTTAGCAGTCAAGTGCCTTAGCCACTATGCTACCAGAGCTCCCAAAGAGATGGCCCATCTACCTGGCGGGGAGCGGCCGGTGGGTTCTTAAAAGACTAATCCTCTTATTTTTAAGGTGGATGGAAAATCCATTTTCAGAACCATTTTAAGAATTTGAGATTCTAAAGTTCTTAATCCCCATTAAACCAAGTAAGGGTGTTCTCAATTTGTTGTTGTTATGTGCCTTGCAGTCATCTCCTACTCATAGTGACCCCTCCTTGGGTTTCCGAGGCAGTATCACTATGGAAGTAGATTGCCCAACCTTCCTTCCCAGGAGTGGCTGGTGGTTTGAACCTTCCGGTTAGCAGTCAAATGCCTTAAGCACTATGCCACCAGAGCTCCTCAATTTAAGACAAAAGACCACGATGTAACAGGAATCTCACGGGCAGATTGTATAAATCTCAAATGTCAAGGTATAGCCACACAAACTGATCTATGCTCCCTGATCTTAACCACTAAACTATACCTCATTGACTCAGCTGGACTAATGCCACTGAGAACTGGAAGTGCAGGGAATATGGCAGTAGGAAGGCCACTTGCACAACACCATAGGACCATCTGCTTAGGTCAAATGCCACAGAGCGGCATTCGCTGCAGGTAAAGAAGTTTCTAGGGCTATCCCTAGATAGTTTAAAACAAAATAAAACCTTCAGTCTCAATTAGGTCAGTGCAGCCATATAGACACTGTTCTCAGGGTCACAGTGAGGATAACTCAGTGCCAGATAGACTGCAAATGCTCAATCGAGATAAAATATACTACAAGGCACTAATTTGATAGACTATTACAGGATTCACCTCTCTGCCAGATAGTGCCTCACCTATAAATTAAGGGTATTTAAATTGTTTATAGAAAAAAATAAAGTACACCTACTCTTCAACATAAATAAATTGTTCATAGATCTTCTGATATGAAGTGCAAAAACATGAAAAGAGAAACTTAAATGTTATATGAACATAAGCCCACTAAAGAATGAATCAACTTGGGAGTTTAAAGAAGCTAATTACTTCGTCTGGATTTCCCACAGGTATCTGAATGGGAACCTGAGGTATGTCTATACCAGTCCAGAACAGCTGTGTTAGCTGAACCTTGGCCAGTTAACACCTGGTCTCTGCAAAGTACCAAACGGCAGGGCACCTACTGACCCTGAAGGACAAACTAAACCACTGCCATCAAGTATATTCAGACTCATAGCGACACTACAGGGCAGAGTAGAACTGCTCTATAGGGTTCCCAAGGTTCTATGTCTTTTAGGGAAGCAGACTGCCACATCTTTCTCCCGCAGAGTGGCTAGTGGGTGTGAACCACAGATCTTTCCTTAGCAGCAAAGCTCTTCAACTACTACTGCACCACCAGGACAATTCACTTCAGTTTTATGCTGAGATCCTAGCATCCTTTCTACAGGAAATACCTGATGAATTGTCCCGTTTGACAAAAAGCTGAAGCACACAGAAAAGTAACTTGCCACAATTTGAGACCACACACAGAATGAACCAAACAGGGGAACTACACAATTAAGCTGGGAGAAATTAAGATGCATCTGGTTCACATAAATTTTACAGATACGTGAACTGAGTCCCAGAAGTTAAATGGCTTGCCCAAGATCACAGTTTGTGAAAGGCAACTACAGCAAACTTCAGATTCATGGTGTTCCAGCCTCAGTTCGGATTTTTCACTCAAACTTTGCAGTGAGGATTGTTTGACCCAAGCATCTCAGGAGCAAACAACCTCTCTCAAAATGCTGAAATACACATGGTCATTAAACTCCTAACAGTCAATTAAGCATCTACTTATTCTTATTAAGCATCTACTGAGGCTCAGCTCTGAACATTAGCATCTAAATCACTAAATCCAGTCCCAGAAAGCAGCTGTTTCATTTTCCACTCAAGCGCAGAAAAGGCGAACATCTTCATTTCCACCGGGTTCCTGGAACTGCCTCGAGTCTACAGGTCCACTTGGGCTCCTGTACCCTCACCACTGTCCCTCCCTCGTGGCTCCCAGGTAATTTTGGCTGAAAACTGAACTCTCCCTCCCCCAACCACAGCTGTGCACGAGGTGTCCCTGTCACCCAGGCTCACCTCTGGTCACACTAAAGATCATCGCGTCGCACCTGGAGCAGACTCCAGGTGCCCAGCCTCCCGCTCCCTCAGGCCCCTTCTCGCCCGGGTCCTCTATCGTAGACCCTGCCCTGAACCTCAAAAATCCATGTTCCGGCCCTGCTAGCTTTCACACGCCCTCATGAACCCCGCTGCCCAAGCCAGGTTTGAAGCGGCCCCCAGACCTAGCTCGATAGGGCTCGCACCTACCCGGCAGTTTCGCCGCAGCCTCCACTGCTCCAGCCCCAGCCCAGCCCTGGCCCGCCAGGGGCCCACTCGGCTCTTTCACCGTAGGACACCGCTCCCGCCAGGGCGCTGCCAGGCCGGCGCCGCTGCGCCCGCACTGGGCATGCCCGGGCCGCACAGGGCCTCTGGGAAGCCAGGCGAGCGAGCCGAGCGATGCCGCGCGGGATGGGGGTGGGGGCGGTGCCGGAGCCTGGGAAATGTAGTCCGTCAGCCTGTCCAACTCGGCTTAGTGGCCTTTGAACACCTTCCCTACCTCAGACTTCATCACTTGGATGCTGATCCTTCGTCCTATTCTTTGCCTTCCCCAAGTTCCACAGGGTTGATTGTTGCAAAATCCTATTGTCAAAAAATATAATCATGGGTTAATTCAAGACAATATATGTATTTTTTAACTAATTATTGTGATTTTTATTGTGGGGCAAAGTTCACAGAGCAAATTCTTTTTCCATTCAACAGTTCATACACATTTTGTTTTATGACACTGATTGCAATCCCCCCAATGTAAAGCTCTCTTCCTACTTCTTCTTTATGATTACTTTTTCCCTGTCTTTCATTACTGCCTTCCGAGTTTTCTCCAGACGCAAATGCTGCCCCTCTGATCTCTCATGGAAAATAATTACACAATATTTGATCGCTCTATGATTTAACAATTTGCAAATGAGAGGAACATTTTCCTCACCCAAGACAAGCCTGCTTCCAGAAAATGGAGAATTCAGAGACTCAAAATCTTTGCTTAAAGAATACATGTTTCCACGGTGATTACTAATGGGTACTGAGTTAACATTAAAAGGGTAATATCCCTAACGATTTGGAATTCCACCTAACCTGCACTCCTGAGGCCCCTACAAAATCCAAAACCAAACACACTCCTTGGGAGTCACTGGACTCATAGCGACCCCTCCTTGGGTCTGCAGCAATATCTCTGAGGAAGTAGATTGCCCAATACGTCTTACCAGGAGTGGCTGGTGGGTTTGAACCACCATCCTTCTGGTTAGTAGTCAAATGCCTT